CATTACTTTAATCTCTCTGACAATAATAATGAACATTTGGAATCAATAAAATTGACTAATATATCTGACTGAATCATATATTTTCAAAATGTATATTAAATTCATTTTTGTTTTTCTAGTTTTTTTTTTCCCTCTCTAAAATATTTTTTATAAATTTTTTTAACAGTTAACCCTTAGGGTGATACAATTGTTATTATTATAAATGGATACAACAAACAACTGACGAATGAATTTAAGTTCAATAAAATTGACTAATATCTGACTGACTAACTGAATCATTTATTTTCAAAATGTATATTAAATTCATTTTTGTTTTTCTAGTTTTTTTTTCCCCTCTCTAAAATATTTTTTATAAATTTTTTTAACAGTTAACCCTTAGGGTGATACAATTGTTATTATTATAAATCGATACAACAAACAACTGACGAATGAATTTAGGTTTCATTGCAAAATGAACTGTTCGACGATTCAAATGAGAAAATAAAAAAGAGAAAAGTGTATAAATAAATGAATAAATAAATAAATGAATGAATGAATAAAATAAAAGAAGAATAATCCTGACACATTTATTTAATATCATATTTAAACCACGAAGCGGAACGAAAATGATGCGTAAAAAGATTATCATGTTTAATTATCAGGTATATGATATCAGGTACGTGAAAGGTTTAATCCTTATATATATATTTTTTTTCTTCTTTTTTTTTTTTCATTCTTGCCACACCCACGACGACGGAAAATGACACCGGAAGAAGAAAAAAAAAAGACAAAGGTAATAAACTATGCACGCAAGAAGAATTTGTAGATTATTTACAAGATTGTTGTAAAAGATAATACAATTGCATTTAGTTGGATCTCTTCTACGTCAGGGTTGTTGAGTATTTTTTTCTTCAAAATTTGTCCATCGAGATTTAAATTAACACGGGGATACAAAATATCTGATTTCTATGGTTCGTACGTTCACCCTCCCTCCCCCTTTGAAATCTGTTCTTATTATACTTCCGGTCTGTATATATTTATCTATCTACAGTAACATACGAAAGTATTTGAAAATACTTGCTATGTAATATTTTATTAATTATAATAAGTATATTATGTGCAAATTGTTATCAAAATATTATTAATATTTGATGATGATACGACACTGTTTAGATTATATAAGTATAATTTCAAGAAAAAATCAAAATATATATATATATATATACAGTAATTATGATTTATTTCTTTTACAAACAAAAAGATTGTCAAAGCTACAAATGTATTTGTAAATACTTGCTATGAAAATTTTATTAATTATAATAAATATATTATATTATACAAATCTTACCGAAATATTATTAACATTGGATGAAGATATAACTATCTAGATTATATAAGTATAGTTTCAAACAAATCAAAAAATATATACAATAATTATGATTTATTTCTTACAAACGTAACGATTGTTGAAACCACAAAAGTATTTTACAGTCACTGTATTTATCTATCTATCTATCTATCTATCTCTTTCATTTTTACTGTGCAATTTGTTGCTTGCTAAAAACGTGATTTAAAAATAAACACACAGACACACAGACAGAGGAGACAGACAAAATAAAAAAGAAAGAGAAGAAATTTGGATAAAAGGGGAGGGAGAAAATAAATAATGGATGAAAATATATATGTTGGTTGCAATATTTTGTTGTCCTCTCTCTATCTACCTGTCAATCTGTCTGTCTGTCTGTCTATCCATCTATATCTTCTCTTCCTCACTATTTTTCTCTTTTTATATACCGATTGAAAAGTTTTGCGGAACCTCTTTGAAAGCGCGTTGACCGTGAACCATCGGAGTTGTACAATCGGCATCCGGAAACGCGTATCTTTCTCTTTCTCTCTCTCTCTCTTTATCTATCTTTTGATTCTCTACCTACGTAGTTGTATACACACATACTTGCGTGTATAGGTACACCCGTTATATAGACAATACCATGTAAATTGTTTCCGACGTTGTTTGTTGAGTGAAAGAAAAAATAAAAGGGAGAGATATAAAAAAAAAAGAAAAAAAGAAAAAAGAGTTACGGCTCGTTTCATCTCTCTCTCTCTCTCTTTTTCTCTTATGCATTCGTCTACTTTGTATTTCTCTCGGCTAGAAAGATGTCAAGTTAAATTTTGCCGCTCGCACAAATTGCAACCTGGATTAAAATTCTCTTCTCCCCCTCTTCCCCTCTTCCTTTTTTTACTTTCTTTCTTTCTTTTACTTTCTCACTCAGTTACTTTCAATCATTCTCTCCGCCATTTACTTCGGAGTAGTTTTCTTACGAAAAACAGTAAAAAAAGTAAATAGTTAGAAAAAAAACTTTTTCGAAATTATTCGACGAAGAATAAAAAAAGGAAAGAAAGAAGTTTTAGAACGGTAGAGAAGAAGAAAAAAAAAGAAAAAAAAAAGAAACTTCTCCATCGAGTTTTGCAAAGTTAAAACTTAACGGACATTAGGGACGAATCGCTAATGAAAAGAAATTAGAGTTGAAATTACTCGCTTTCACCGTTTCCTCGGCTCGTTCATAATTTCTCAGAGAGGCGTTGTTACCTTATATATATATATATACATATATATATACATATATGTAACATACGCACATGTATTCATATCGTGCTAAAGTTCTGACCTCATCCAACGTTACCCTAATTCGCATAAATCTTCATAGTCGTGCAACCAGTGTATTCCCTCTCTCGTTTATCACGTAACGTCTGAACAATTTCTAACGTAATTTTCTTTTCCCATTCGATATTCAATAATATAATTTTATATAATATTCCTTATATATATATATATATATATAGTCAGCGAGAAAAAAAATGTTGCACATTATTTTCCATATTTATAATCGAATACAAAATGTTTGTCCTTTTCTTTTTTCTTCTTTATCTTCTTTTTTTTTTTTTTCAATACTTTTTTCCAGAATATTATTTAACAAAATTTGACGAATAATTGTACTGTGTGTCACGCATCCTAAACGAGAACAAAAAATTAATAATTAAAGTAAGAAGAAAGGAAATAAATAAAAAAATACATATTTAAAAATGCATACACATTCGTGCGATAGTTTAAAAAAAAGAAAAAAGAAAATATAAAATAAAAAGGGGGAACTTGACGACAACGGTGAAACACATATATATATATATATACTAATTAGATTCTATTTAAAGACGAATGTCCAATTTCCCGATAAGGAATGAAAAATATATACTATAGGAAAGTCATCAAAGTTCGTCGTGAAGTTAATTCGTTTTAGGTATCACCAAGGACACAAACAAACAAAAAAAACTTGTTGGTCGAAAGAGAAAGAATACGTAAGCATTATTTTAACTGTTATAAAAATAATAAAACGCGTTTTATTATTTTTTTCTATTATTTCTCTTGCCGATTTATGGATCATCGTTCATTGTATTCGAGCAAGAAAGAAAGAGAGAGCGAGAGAGAGAGAGATAGAAATAAAGAATGAGTATATGCATGTATATACACGTGTTACGTACTCGTCATCGTTTCTCTGTTAATTCAATAATAATCATAAGCACCACCATATCATCATTTTAATTATCTCTGACGTTATAGATACTCACTATATATTTTTTTTTTTATATTATCAATTTATAAATATTTTCATATTGTCGATAACAATCTGATTGTTACATCTGGATTTGTTTCTATTATCCATCAACCATTGATGTATATATAATTGTATTTGATTTTAATCATCCAATGCAATGATAATTAATGAATGTCCTATCAAGATAATAAAATAAATAATAATAGTAATAACACGATATTATTTAAATATAATTGAAATAGTATTATACCTTTTAGGAGAGGAAATGTTAGAATTATGTTAAATTCATTTGAAATGTTTTCAACATTATCCATTGTCGGTTTAACTTCTTTATATTCTTCTTTATTATTTTCTCTTGTTTTTAATTTAATTCCACAATAAAATCCTGTATCTTTATTATATTGTAATATTAAAGAATTATAATTGACCATGATTAAGTTATATTGTTTAATTCCCATTACCATCACACCTTACATGAAACAATACCAAATGAAATATAAGCTAATTTCTTTATAATAGGAAAAAGAATGAAAAAGATAAAATTTAATATTAGATTTGAAAAATAAAATAAAATAAAATATGTTCAATGTAAAATAAATTGTATCTTAAAGAATAGAAGTGTAAAATGTGTATTTCCTTTTGCAATTGATTACATGATTTCTCTTACATTAGAAATTAGTTTTAAATCAATAGTTAAAAGTAATAAAAAAGATTTAACGAAGTAGGAGGAGAAAAAAGTGAAAAGTAAAGGAATGCGCATGTGTGTGTGTGTATGTGTGTAGAGGAAAATATACCAAAAAAGGGTAGAAATTTGGCGGTAGGCTTTTTTTTTCTATTAAAGAATATGTGGAACAACAAACTGTCAAGTTAATAACTTGCGACCATCTGGTTGTTGCATACCAAAGAATATTAGGTCACTTACCTCCAGCACGATTCGTATTCCGTTGATAACTCATTAAATGACGGAGCGTTAGACGAAACGATGAAAGTGGCTCTTACTAACTAACGGAATAAGAAGGAACGCTTCTCTTAGCCCGACAAATACGTACGCGACTGTCACCGCTCGAAACTGTCATCACGATGGATTTGTTAACGCGTACAATGTTACCAACGAATAAACGATTTTATCGCCACCATCTTTCTATAAGGGAATTTTCTTATTTCGTAGAGTGAAATTGCGAACGCTAAACGTAGACGTCCCACTTCCTATCTTCTTTCGAATACCGTTAATAAACAGGAATTATATATATTTCTATAGATGAACAAGTCACGTGGGATTATTCGAATTTGGCGCGCGAGCGACATCTTGCACCGCCAATTTCAAATAAAATTAAGCCGAATTTACAATCAACGACTAGACGTGACCCTTTTGGTTTTTCTTTTTTTTAAATCTCTTTCCATTTAAATCGAAACTTGAAAATTCGGATTGGTTAATATTTCGTTTTGTAAATCCCGATTATGAAAAGAAATTAATCGTCATCGTCTTTCTTCATTTTTTTTTTTCCTACCCAATACCACGTTCGCGTTTACGAGTGAATGTTTCTATAGATTATTCTAGCACGTCTTTGTATTCATGTGATATATGTAGAAGCATTAGAAACCGTGACGTATTTTATTACAAAAATTAAATACGAAAATATATTATCATCCAATAATAAGTGAATTTTGTTCTCCTTATGATGGATGATAGACTACAAGAGATCAATTATCTGAAAAGTAAGTCCTCAATGTTCGTTATTCAATATGACATTTTTTCTGAGCACATGATTACAAGGTCGTACATCATTTTAGGTCTCATAAATAATTATCAGAACAAATCGTCTGGAAATTTGCCTAATAGCGGTACTACAAATAATTATAACATAAATAACGTTGCAACGGAACGTAAAATGAATATAAATAATTTTCCTAAATCTAGACATACTGATACATTGACGTATCAAAATTCAAATAATTCAATACAATTAAAACCTTCGACAATGGCCTATAATGTTTACGTCAATCCATATTTCAAACCACAAAATCCTGTGGTACATATCAATCCGAAAATGCATCTGAAACCATTCATACATGTAAATCCTAAAATGGTTAAAAATGTTACCAGTACAAATGATACTACAATTAACAATACTTCTAATATCATGAGTAATTCTCCAGAAAACTTAACACAAATGGATATAAAAAAGTTAAAACTACATGCGAAACCTTCGATACACGTCAATCCAAAAATAATGAGCAGTATTGCTAATTCAAACGCAACAACGGAAAATAATTATAAATGTGTTACGTCTAATAATAATAATAATAATAAAAAAAGTTTTATTCGTACAGATGTTAAGAAATCAGTATACGTCAATCCAAAATTAATGTCAAAATTATCTTCAACTAAGGAATCTAAAACGGTTGAAAAGAAAGAGACTATTCCAAATTTTAATCAACCTTCGTGTTCAAGATTAAAATTTGTAAGAAAAATTGACAATACAAAGACACCTATAAAAAAAACTAATATGTCTAATATATTAGTATTGTCGAAAAGAAAATTAATAAGGGCTAAACGCACAATGAAAGAAAATACTGTTATATCTCCACTAGGTCCAAATAAAGTTAAAAAACTTTCTCAAACAAAAAAGATTAAAACTACCACATTACAGAGTACAAATAATATAACAAACAATAATAAATTGCAATCCACCAGTAACAATGTTAACTTATCGAAGATACCTAATGCTAAAAGAAAAATAAATCAATACAAAATCGATAGAACTGTAAAATCGTTAACAGAACCAAAAGCAAATGAAGTTTCTCCAGTAAAAATATCCAAGTAGATATATATTTTATAATAAGAGAAAAATTTAGTTTAATATTTACTTATATTTCATATTACTTTTATTAAATATTTCTTATATTTCATAGGTATGACTTGATGGAATTAGTTACAATTGGAGGAATAGTATACAAATCGTCCAGGAATCAATTAGTTCGAAGAAGTTACTCTTTAAAGAGTATAAATACTTTTTACCAGATTAAATTTCTATATATTTATTATATAAAAATATTATTATATAATTATAAACTTTTTGTTTTTTTTAGGAAAACTTGCAGCAAATACTAAACGTGATAAATTTATAATTGCGACCAACGGTAAAAAACTTTGTAGGCTCAAGCTATCAAAAGACATACCCAATCGGAAAAATGTTCTGCAAACAACTGAATCGAAATTTGGCAGTGTGGCTAATTCAAAAACAACTTATAAGAAAAATATTAGGTATATTTACTTATATAGGTCTTTGTAAATTTATCTATATGCTATTACGCTATAACTTTATATTCTCTCTGTTTCTCTCTCGTTTTCTTTTATTTCACTACAGCAATAAAGTTAAGCAAAGGAGCATACAAATTTTGCGCAACAAAATGCGAAAAAATAATCAACCGTGTTTGTTCTTCCAACGATTTGGATATTGTGCCAATCAAAAGAAGGGAACCTGTTCGAAACTTCATGACAAAAAACAGATCTCAGTTTGTAAAAAGTATATCGTTATTTTTATTTATAAGGGACGTAACTCAAAAATTTATATATATATATATAATAATATAATCTAATAGAAGATTATAGGTTTTATTTATATTATCTTATAGATCATTTTAAGTAATATCCATAAATAAATCTAAAACTACACTTTTACATGCCTAAATATGTGCAGATTTCTTCAAGGGAAGTGCTTGTTGGATGTATGTCCACTTTCACATGATGTTGGACCTGAGAAAATGCCAACCTGCAAATATTTTCTAGAAGCGTGTTGTATGCGAGATCATTGTCCTTATCGTCATGTTAAAGTTTCATCCAGTACTCCCATCTGCAGAGAATTTCTTCAAGGGTATTGTCCCAAGGGAAACGAGGTAATGTTATAATAATTTTACTTTTATGCTTATCATCTTTTATAATTGATCAATTATACTTCCTCATAACTGTGTGCAAATAACTGTACTAATTAACACGTTCGCTAACAGTATGCTTTAAATCTCTTCTCTCATAATATGATAGCGAACGTGTTGAGTATAGTTTGTAATCGATTAACTTTATACAAAAACATATATAATCACTTTAGATTAGTAATATTTTCTATACAGTGTAAGCTGCGGCACGAACATCTTTGTCCCGAATATAATAAAACAGGTAACTGCAACAAAGGTAAGCATTGTCCCTATCCTCATAAACCAACTACATCTACTGCCCGACAAACTAAAAAATATATCAAAAAGAAACCTAACGCAACTAAAAGTCAAAATGCACCTACAATGGAGAATGACACAGAACTAATCAATCATGAATGTAAATTAAGATATTATGAGAGTACTGATACAAACAATACTAATCTTGCTACGAAAAGAGATAATATTATTAAACAAATGCAAATTATGAAAAATGTTGTATTAGCACAACAATCGGACGAATTATTTACAAAGGAGGAATTATCTAACAATAACGTTACTGAACCAAGCATATCTGAAAAAGAATCGACAAATTGTTTGGAAAACACATTGCCGAAAAGATTGCCCCTTGGTATTCTACCTGCTTTTATTCCTATTAATTAAAAAAAGTGATTATTATTTAAATCATCATTTTTTTTAATTTTATTCGTACATATATACATTTTTGTTTTTGTTTTTAATATTCATAGGCTGGGCAAAATAATTTATTTTATTATTATACGTTATTAACTTTTATTCTTTGAATAAATTTTCGATATTTTATTTTATCTTTTTATTTTTGTCTCTTTAGTAGTATATCAATAAACTAGAAATTTATCTGTCATTTGTATTATGTTAATATTAACTACATTTAGCGATTTTATATCTTACACGAACTATTATTTAATTGTACTTATTTTTACATATATTCATTTTTCCTCTATGAATTTTAAATGACAGCAAAAAAAAAATATTCTACATGCTTATATTTTATTAAATTTATTTTTATTATTCTTTTATTAGAATTATTCCACGATAAAAAATTAAATATTATCTGGAAATATATAACTGCAATTAAATCAATTTGCAATAACGAAAGTTTTAATCGACTCTAAGAAAATAAAATGTTCATTGACCTAAAGTACAAACATGTAAAATATTACTCTTTAGAATCAGAAGCATCTAAATATATATTCTATGATAGTGGATACTCTGGAACATTTCAGAAATGTGATTCTATTATATTCATATTTTTTCAATAAGAATATCATACATCTTTACAGCTGAAGATGATTAATTTAACTTTATACTGCATTTAATTCTCCAGAGTGTTATTTTTCAATTGTTTATTTCGATTTCATAAATAATTAAGTCGGGCAATTCATGTTTGGTCTTTATGAGAATCTATATACATATATTTATTCTTCCACATTATTTTTTATTATTTTCCCTGTTAGACTTATACGAAGTATAAAAATTATATTTTGTGAAATGTATAAGATACCTGTAAATAAAGGATGTATATTTGTTAATAAAGATTTTACCTTTCTAATAATATCAAGGTGTTTTTCTTTATTCATTCTCTTTCTATTAATTAAAAGAAAATTTATTAAATATTGTGAATATCATATTAAATTTATTTTATTTATACAAAAGCTTTAAATTATTATTATGATTATAAGCTAAAAAAATCGGGCCATGCAATAGTAAAGACAAAGTAGAATAATCAACTGATGTTGACAACATTATCCATTGTTCGAGCCAATCTTTCATACTTTCCGCTGACATATTTACAGAATTTAATCCTCTAAAAGATACCGCCTATAAATATATCAATATTAAATTAAATTCAAAGAGATACACAGGATGTCTTATAACTAGTGGTAAAAGCAAGCAAAGGATGATTCTATATGAAAAACTAAGTCGAAAATATAGAATACTATTTTTCATATAAGACTTAGTTTTTGAAAAAAATATGTTTCTAAATTATTCTCTTACCCAACTCAATGATTCTACAGACATTTTAGTTACACCTCCTTCTTTAAGGATAGCATTATCCATTCGTTTTATTAACATACCCCTTTCTTTTAAACGTCGTTTTCTAAAGGGTTTCCATACAGATAATTCATGAATACCAAGTAGCTTACTCTATAATGACAAATATCAAATATTTAGTATTTATTAACAAATAAAAGAAACTTTATTTAATCATTTACCATATGTTTACTGTCAAGTGTATCCAATGAATATGGTGCACTTGCAAATAAAGCGATACAAGATATCACGTTTTCAACTGTTGGGTGTCCACCACAACCCAAACTTGTAATGATTCCACACCACTTATTTTTTAACAGTTTATCGTTTATGTGGTTAGTTTTAATTTTCATACAATAAAATAACGGTCTACTGTATTTGAATCTTTTTGCATAATAATAAAGATTAAAATCTATTTTTTGTTGTGGTGTCCAAAAATGATGAGTTAACATTTGTCGTGGAAAGAAATACGCTAAGGGGATGATGGCATAGTTCGTAAAGGGAATAATAGAAATAAGAATGACTGGTGAAATTTTAATTATATCTTTGTGAATTGAATGAGCTAACTGAATCTCTTTTCTTGTTAAACTATCTAACCCATATAGACCTTGTTTCTTTAATATGGCTATATACATTTTTGAATCGAGAAAATAATTTTGCATACCATTAAGATACATACGATATAAGCCGAAAGCTTTAGGAAATTTCTTACTTAAAGTTTCTTCATAGATTTTTATATAATTTACATATCTGCTTAACCAATATTTTTTTAAATTAGATATTTTCCCTTTCTTCTCATCATTATTTCCTATTTGTGTAACATAACGTTGCACTGGATTGTATGAAAAACAAATAGAACTGTGTTTTTCATAAAACAATATTCTTGAAATAGCTTTATGCATGGTTAACTTATTTCCTTTTTAATTTTTATATGTTAAACATATTGAGGTTATGTTCTTGTGTTATTTATTCACTTGAGATACATTGTCGATTAAAACAAAATATTAAGATCTATATATTATTAGTTTCTAAGTTTTACTTATTAATAATTTACTTTATAATCACAGTTATTATATAAAATGAATTATTGTACCCTGTTGTAAGTTGATCTTGGATCATGTTTGATACCGGTTAGTTAATAAATGAATTAAAAATCAAATGGAAATATCTCTTTTGGTAATTTTAAACACAATATTTTTTCTTAACAATTTATAAATATTATTTGAAATATTATGTAACAATTTATAACATTATGCAATATGCAAAATATATATATATATTTTATTATTTCTCTAGGATATATAATATGAAAAAATTTGATTTAAATGAAATAATGCGATTGGTAGAATTTATTTGATACCAATTTTTTATCGACAAGCTTCTATTCGTCTTTGCTACCAATTGCAACGTTGATTAAGCTATAGTAACATTCTGATAGGTCACTGATACAAACTTATTATTATTATTGGCTATTAATGTAAGAGAACAATTACGATTTGATTCTTGAAAATAGAAGTAGAAATGCGTCAAATAAAAGAAATATATATGTAAACATATGCATATAATTGCATTGATATTACAGAATATTAAACAATAATATGTTTTGTTATCAAGGAAAAAAAATTGAAGAAGAGGGGATTCTGGATATTGATGTTTGTTGCAACTGGTAGCTAACCTGCATTACGCGGAGAGTGATGTGATTGAGAATGATTTTGCTATCAGTAATCTGAAGAATAAAATAATTAATAAAAAAAAAAATAATAAAACAAAAATACGAAATATATATAAAAAGAAAATAATTCGTAAATAAATATTACAATGTTTTACGAAGAATTAAATGAATGTTGTCCATTGTTACTGGAAAAATTCGCCGAAGTCGAAGAATTATTGGAGAAACATAAATTAAATTTGGACCGGAAATCTTATAAAGTAATATATGAAGGTATAGATTTACTTAAAGAAATAGAATTAAAACTTTATAATAGCCTAAACAGCGAACAGGAACAGAAAGATAATGTCAAAGATTTAATCAAGTTATTACTTGCTATTGGTTATTTAAAGACAGGTTTACTTTATACTGATACAGAAGAATTAAAAGTTGCTGAAGAATACTTTATGAAATGCATTGATATACTTAGAGGTAGAGAATTGGAACCTAAATGTGTTGTACCAGTTTTAGCCACTCTTAATCAGTTAGGTATAATTTGGTCTCAATGGAGTCAACCGGAAAAAGCCAAAATATTCCTTGATAGAGCTAAACAGATTTACATTGATTATACAGATCAAAAAAATCCTGAAGACCCTATCGATTTGATATCAAACTTTAATATTGTTGAAAAAGGTTTGAGTTTCAAGCAAGTATTGGATAAGCTATACATTTTGACATTGTATTATCTTGCACAAGTATATGGAGCTTTGAAAAATCATCACAAATCTGCAGTATATTGTCACATAACGTTGCGCTTGCAATTGGAACAAAATGAAGTAATAAATGATTTAGATTACATAGAATGGGCACTTAATGCAGCCACTCTGTCACAGTGTTTTTTAGAAAATGAAGGATTTACTCAGGCCAGGCATCACTTGGCAGCAGCATATTACATACTTGAAAAATATGAAAAAATAATGAAAGAAAAAGAAAGTGAAATGGAAAGTGAAGTAGCTGCTGCTGAATATGAACGTTTTAAGCATAGAAGCGCTGATGTGGCTAGATGCTGGGCTAAATATGGATTATTATTACTCAGTGCATCAATAAATCGTCTTGTAAAAAAAGTAGAAAGTGATGAAACTGATTGTAATGATACAGAAGACAGTCAATTGGATTCTAAGGCAGAAAAAGATTCAGAAAAATCATTTGACGATCTAAAATTTGATATTCTAATGGATGATATTAAACCAATTGTAAATCAAATAACAGACGCATACCTTTTGGATTTTGATGATGCTAAACCCGTATTTTTAAATATTCAAAATTGGTTAGATCAAGCTAAAGCATATTACACTCTTGAAAATCATGCATCAGATTATGTAGAAATTATACAAGATTTATCTAGTGCATATAAGTATTTATCATTTTTCGAAGAAAGTGAAGATCGTCAGGCAAAAATGCACAAACGTAGAATAGATATCTTGGAAGCTACTGTTAAAGAATTAAATCCTCAATACTATAAAAATGTATGTAGACGAATTTGGACAGAATTGGGTACAACTTATTCTGATATTATGAATATTAAGTTGGATCGTTTACGAGCAAATAATGATAGAGCAGAGCCTCAAGCATTGAACAAAATTAATAATTTGGCTAAAAGTGGCATTAAAAATTATCAATTTTTCTTAGATTCATTGGATAATAATTCTACCGATGGAAGGAACATAACATTTCCTCCTGATCTAGAAAAAGCAGCACTAGTCGCATATTTTCTGTTGGGAGGATTGTACAATAAAATGTTTACTTTTGATAAGTCTGTACAATTGGTGAATACTCAAAACAGTTTGAATGCCTATAAATTTGTAATTGACTATTGCGAAACTCATCCAGAGGCTAGTGAGATGATAAAAGAAGAATTTAATTTATGCAGGGAGATCGTTAATTTACTTCCTGTTAAAATTAATAAATTAAAACTAGAATTGATGGAAAAATAGATTCTTCTAAATATTTAACGTAATGATAATTAACAAATACATAATAATTCTATGCAGTCAGTAATTTATAGAAAGTTGCATTTGATTTTAATTTATGTGTATTTAATACACGATGTTTGATTTCGTTTTTTTCTTTAATGCAATGAATATATTTGAAATATGTTTGTAATTATATGAAATGTAAACAAAAACTATTATGTAATTTTTTAATGTAATGTTAACACAACGATTTTTTGCTACTTTAGACACCTACGATTGATGTTTTATATATCATGAAATTATAAGAAAAATAAATATATATTAATCTAAAAATAACTATACGTTGTTACAGATTTTTATTTTATAAATAATATTTATTAAAATATTTTTATTAAGATGAATATTCTAGTGACGCCATAGACTCACTATTTTTTATCATAACTATAATTATCTATAATGATGATAACTGTTTTATTACTGTGAGGTATGTAAATATACATTGACAAGATCAGTAATGCAAAAAAAATTTAGTTTTTATTCCAGAAAATAACATTACTTCTTTTCTGTTTTCTTGGTTGCTTTACTAGCACCAGTTGTCTTAGCTTTCTTAGTTTTCTTTTTTAATGCGAAGAAAGCATGTGTTTTTAATTTGTTTCTTATTTGTCTAGCTTTCCTCAATTTGAAACGGTCAAAGTCGCTAAGCTCGGCGCGCTATAAATTAAAGAAGTTTGAAATTAATTAATAGAAATTTGATTTCATGGTAAATGTTATATAGAGATATTTTTACATTATATTTATCAACAATATCTTTTTGTTTTATAAGCATTTTTACCTTCTTTTTAGCTGCAACCTTTCTAGCCCACATAGTATCTTTCCATAATTCATCTATTTTACCATTTTCCCATGCTTTACGTACAACTCGTGTGGAACCAGTATAAGGAAACCGTAAACGGAATTTGGTGAGATGAAGTTCGTTCAACCTCATTTGACCACGTGGAACATTCGCTGCTGGTCCATCGACCAAAACCTGTTAATATTATAAACCGATAAAAGAATTTGCACTGGAATTGTGCTAATGTTAATAAATATATGCATAAATAAATTCTCAGATAATAAAATTAACATCAGCTAAGTGTCAGCCGGCAATTCCTATCAATATAATGGGATCATCATTGTAACAATAAAATGCTAACTAGTAGTAAAGTTATATCTATCGATATAAATATATTATAAGTCTAATTTAATTTATAATATAATATAAACATATATGTGTAACTATAATCTATTAATAACATAAATAAATTATTTATACCCGATTTTGATCGATAACATCAACAATTGCGACGAGTTTGCCCTGGTAAGGGCCATCGCTAACGTAAGCAACTCGGCCCGACTCCACAAACCTTTGGAATGGCTATAAAAATATAATTATATTATTTTTTATAGAAAAAAATGATCAACTTAATAAAAATTAATATTAATATAAATTAACATTGATAGATTAAGTTAATTTTAATATGCAAGTAATAAAGATTGTATTCTAAATTACGAATAACATGTGCTTAGCGCTATTTGATTTTAAGGTTATGTTAATCGACGCGATGCATATGTTGCATCGTGTATTCGAATTAATAAAAAAATATTAATTTAATTTAAAGCGCATAATAGTATAAACAAATAAAACTTAGATTTAATATTCTTACTGCATTTTTACACAAGTTATATCGACGAAGTATGCAATCACAATGCACTTACCATGATTTACCGGAAGCAAAAGAATTGTACAGGATACTACTATGCAGTACTGAATCAATATCAAGACTGAAACTTAAAAAAAAAAAAATTCCTATGTTTTCTTGTTTTTTTCAGTCCTACCAATATAAAGACGAAAAAATTTGAAATTTCGAATGATTCTACTAACATTTCCAAAAATTTGACTATAATAAAACTATTCTGTTGATCTCTATATTTTTTTATTATCATTCTAATAAATGTTGAATATAACCTGTGTCAATGAGTGCTTAAAGTAACAGAGTAAAGAAAAATTAATAATAATGAATTTACCATGTATTAGAAATTTCTCAAACTTAGCGTATAAGACGTTAATTAATAATTTTCAATATAAAAATAATAGCAGATTATTATTATGTGATAATATTAAAATACATTTAATAAAAAGGTCAAAAATAACCTATAAAACTTTAAGTGAAATTAAAAAAACTACTAACAAACCTAAGAGTCCTTATAGATATTTTTTATTGGTGAGTAATTTAAATTAAATACATTTCTTTTCTTATTATAATTAGGAGACAAAAATATGAATTAATTTTAATACAATTAATTTTTAGACTGTACCAATTTCAACCTTTCTTCTTGGTACATGGCAATTGCAAAGACGTCAATGGAAATTAAAACTAATAGAGGATTTAGAAAGTCAAATAAATGCAGATCCTGTTGATTTAATAGAGAAGTAATTATAACATAAATATAAAAATATATCTTAATCATAAGTAATCAGAAATGTATTTTTTGTGTGTTAAAAAATTGATCAATTATTATATGAAAATATCGCATTCATTTTTCAGTGTGAATCAATTGGACTCTTTGGAATATCGCACTGTAAAAGTAAAGGGTCAATTTTTACATGAAAAAGAATTCCTTATTGGACCTAGAGCTATAATTTATCATAATAATCCAGCAGACGTAGGAAATTTATTTGGTACAAGAAATACTAATGGATGGAATGTTATAACGCCATTTAAGGTAGAAAACGAAGAGTATGTATGTTTGAATTAATGAAAGATATTTTTTTAGTACAATTTTTTTTTATGTATATTCTAAATTATTTTAGTCTAACAATTTTAATAAATCGTGGTTGGATACCTGAAAAATCCAAAAAATTGCCACGAAGTAAAATTGAAGGTACCGTTGAAATTACCGGTATCGTAAGAAAACAAGAAACTCGACCACCTTTTAATTCTTCGAATATTCCTGAAAAAGGATTATGGTATTACAGGTAATTTAAACATTATCATTTTTATCTTGGAGAAAATAATGTTACTATCGTAAGGAAAAATTTTAATTTTTAGAGACATAACAACTATGGCGAACGTAGCTGGTACCTCACCAATATTTTTGGATTTATGGTCTAAAGTAGATCCACCTGAGGGTCCTATTAGTTGTCAGACCAAAGTTTCGATACGAAATGAACATTTCTCTTATATGATTACTTGGTATACACTATCTTTATGTACTGCAGCCATGTGGTATAGAGCTACTAAGAAGAAAATACCAATTTCTTTTTAATTAAAACAAATTGAAAGGTATTGATAATAGAAATTTATATTTATACATTATATATATATAAAAATAAATCTAATGAACGTAGAATTTTGTTTACCACACAGATACCTTCTATAATTAAATGAAATTTCTTCTATATTTTATAGCGTCTGCAATTAAATTGACGTCTTCTTATGGTATAGCCTTCGCTTTGTATTATAAGATATTATAAAAGTTTAATCTTGCGATTTAATTTGGTGAGTTGATACTTGTATACTTTTGTATTATAATTTATATAATATCGGTATAATTCATTTGACCATTACAAAATATTTCTTATCATCTTATTTCTAATTAGAAGTTTAATGAAATAATAAATTAGCGTCTAACTTATAATCATAGATTTCTTTATTTAATAACGCAACAGGTGAATACTCCATTTGTAGAAGGATATTAATTGCTCCCAGAAACTTTTTATTTCTCGTATTATAACAACAACAACAGCGATAATAGCGATCATTATCAGCAAAACTGCGAACAATGATCATATTATATAATAATACATTAACGAATGAGCATAGAAAATATCTTTATATAGATATGAAAATATACAATATACAAATTACATTATGAGGTGTGTACATTTCTTTATTTATTATTATAATAAAATAGAGCGATATATTATTAGTAACTAAACGACGATAAACAAGACTCACTTGTAAAAAGGTCGATGTAATTGGATAAAAGGAACACTTTTTATAGCCCATTTATCGTCATCTAAATTTATTATACTATGCGGCAGCACAGCAGACCCTCTCCTTCAATGAGATATGATTATTGATGTAATGAAAAAGGCATCAAACTTAACTTGGTCGTGCCAATGGATCACTGGCAAAACGTTTAATAACAGTTATCGTTTCTTTTTTTTTTTTTTCCCCAGATCTTTCAGGATTCTATTTTACTACTAGCTAAAAATCATTTAACCGGGCCAAGTGCGTGTAACATCTACAAATAGTAGAAGTTTTCAAAGTGTATCAAAATACTCTGTTTACTCGTTGAGAATGCAAGTGCGTACAAGAGCATTGCACACAGCATAAGGATCGCAATTACTGCTGGGTCTTCTATCCTCGAGGTAGCCCTTCTTATCTTCGGCTACACCACGAGGTATACGAATACTGACGGTACGATTAGCTACGCCAGCGCTGAAATCGTGAATACTGCTGGTTTCGCATTGGCCGGTCAATCTACGCTCATTATCTTTTCCTCCACGTGGATCGTAGGCTTGGATATGTCTAAGGTGTTGTTTGCTGAGCTTATCGATTGCCTTTTCGATTTCTGAAATACCGTTTTCGGAACGCATAGTTTTCGTAGAGAAATTGGCATGAGCACCAGCTCCGTTCCATTGACCCTCGACCGGTTTTGGATCAAAACTAACGATAACACCGTATTCTTCGGCAACGTAATGAAGAATAAATCTTGCGATCCATAGATCGTCGCCAATTTTGATACCACTGCAGGGACCTACTTGGAATTCCCATTGGGATGGCATAACTTCGGCATTAGTACCGGCAATTTTAACACCGGCATAAATACATGCCCTATAATGAGCCTCGACAATTTCACGAGCCATGACCTTATCCGCACCAACGCCGCAATAATACGGACCTTGAGGACCTGGGAAACCATTTTTAGGCCAACCTAATGGCTTTTTATCGATGTCCAAAAGGGTATATTCCTGTTCAATACCAAACCAAGGGTCTTCGTTTCTAGCTGCTTGCATTGCGTGATTGCATAAGTAGCGTTGGTTTGATTTTGTTGGTTGTCTATCGCTGTTATAGGTGTCACAGAGTACCAGTTTATTGTTACCACGTCGGAATGGATCATTGTAAAGCGCTACAGGAGAAAGATAGATATCACTGTTGATTCCTTGCGCTTGATACGTCGAGCTACCGTCATAAGTCCACTCTGGTATTTCTAAAAGATAATGTTTTTTATTATTTTATCCATCATCGATATGTGTGGAAAAATCTTAAGAGTTATATTATATACGATAATCTTTATCTTTATCTATGTAAAAAGGTATTGGATTAACCATCGTATACTTCTCAATTATTGTTTGTTTTATATCATTTATCTTATCTTATTTTTCGTATACCATCGATATGATGTTTTTGTAATTTCATTCGATTTTAATCTTATACGTTTTGTTTTTCTTTACTCTTATCTTTTTGTTTTTTTTTTGTATTTTAACATAGATACGATGAACCCGTAAAAAAAGATTGTGATCTATCGTTTAACTACACACTATGCGAATTGTTTTTCTAACGTAAAGAAGATTGAATGAAAGATTTTAACGCATGTGGCATGCACGAGTGCATACACGTTCATTGTGATTCTATAAATGTTCTCGATTAAGTTTCCTAACGTATACCCTCTGTCTCGGTTTTTGCACCAGTCAAGGATAAAAAAAAGAAACAATTCATTATCTCGCGTCGCATATTTTACATCGTTTAGGGGAGAACTTTTTTTAATATAAGAAAAGAGAAAAAATTTGTTTATTCTTACAATTGCAATAAGAATCTATAATGTAATGTGTTAGAATTCATGACACATTAATAAGAATAATTCTGATACCGAAAATATTCTAAATATTTTGAATAATTATACTAACCAGAAGGACTTTTAGGCACAAAATCCAAAGTTCGGGTTTTAGATCTCACGTTTTCGCCAGTTCCATCGATCCATATGTATCTTACTTGAGTTGCATTTTCCGGTTGTGGCAGGTCAAGATATTTTTGCAACAACGTTTTGTCCAAAGCCGCATTTGGTGAATCCTTTAATACAGCACGCGACATGGTGGTACTGCAAATACCATATACATACCAAAATAATAACAATATTCATTGCAAATCGTTACTAATATAATAAGGATATCGAATATCGATTGAGATTCTTTTCCCTAAGGTTTTATCGGGAAATTTTATCGAAAGAACGTCTCAAAATATAGTATCAAACAGCTTCAACAATCGAACGTTTAAATTTAATGAAGTATGTCACGTCAATCAATGACGATAAAGTATTGATGAGAAAAAAAGAAAGAAAACGTAATCGTGCATTATTGTTACACCTGTATCAAAAATAGAAAATACTTTGCCAGTTGAAGTATCGATTCCTATTCTAATCATTTTTCTCGTTAAAAAGGTGTAACACATCGAAAACAAAAAAAGAAAAACGATAAAACAACACAAACGCATTTCCTTGCGTGTTCCTTTGAGATAAATGCATAACATGCACGATCTTCGACTTGTTATTTAAATACAAAAAAATATATATCACATGTTTTAACATCTTCCATCTATATTATTTCTTTTCTCTAGATCTTTTTTTATAATATTTTATACAACGTAATATAATATTATCTTTTTTGATGCCGTGGCAGTATTAAAAAAGTATTCTACTTTTTTTGATGCACAAATGTGCAACACCACGGTGATATTATTATTCGAGAAAAAAATCTTTTAATTGAATTACAATTATTATTATTATTATTATTATTTTCTTTTTGTTCTGTGTTTTGTATATTACATTTATATTAAAACAAACTTTCGTGCATAATTGAAAAAAAAAAATAACAAAGAAATACAATAACTATGCAACGTGGTTGCTTTATATTATATATTAACAAATATTTCCTAATAATATAATTAAACATATAAATTTAAATTAAAACAAATTTCTTCTCGCGCGTGAATAATTAAAAAAAGAATAAAAAAGAAATGCAATTACTATGCAACGTGATTGCTTTTTATTATATATTAACAAATTCTCTAATATATAATAATATATAAATTTAAATATATATATACATACACATATATATATATTTAAAAGAATTTGAAATGGAGGCGGTGAGATGGGGGAGGAAAGGTTTTTTAAATTCCACGATTTCTAAAGTCTCATGTAAAAAAAAAAAAAGAAAAAAAAATAATTTGCAAATAAAGAAAACAAAATGATTTGCCAGTAGCGCTGCCTGGTTGAAATAATGCACGACTTGTTGCACGTTCCTCGTCGTCCACGACATAAGCTCGTGCATTCACGATGATGATGATGATGATGATGATGATGATGCAGCTGGATGTACAGTGGTTCAACCAGAAAGAGAGAAGAAGAAGAAGAAGAAGAGGATTGAAAGAAGAAAAAAGATAAGTTCTTTATTCATCCTTGGGCGTTACGAAAAGATAGGTGCGCCCACGTTTCATGCGTGTATCACGCGATTCGTACGTGATCATGTATGTATGTATGTATGTGTGGATGTGTGTATGGTCTATGTGTATATTTAATGTTCTTGGTTTAAATCCGAAAACCAAAATTATACCCTTCGAATATTTCTCGACAAAAATGATTCTTCAAGACTTGTCTATCACACACAATTGAAAAAATAAATATTATTTAAATATTACAATTTTTTCTATGGGGAAAAACATTTGTAAAATTATTATTCGATTAATGGATATTTAACAATCCGCGTGGATTATATTCCACCATATATATTATTTATATATTATTTATTATTATTAT